AAAAAAGTCATCTTGTTTTATGGCCTCTGTAAAATGTTGCCTGGGTTTGCTTACATCCGAATAAGCCAGGGTTTATCAAAATGATAAGGAGAAGGGTTGGCTATTAATTGGGGGGGGGGGGTTTGAATGCAAAAGGAACAATTTGGCCGCGAATTGGGGTTTCCTGGATGCAGAAGGAATGTTTAGCCATGAATTGGAGTTTTATAGGTGCAGAAGGAACATTTAGCCATGAGTTGAAGTTTTCTGGATGCAAAAGAAACACTTAGCCATGAATTGGGGTTTCCTGGATGCAGAAGAAACATTTAGCCATGAATTGAGGTTTCCTGGATGCAAAAGAAACACTTAGCCATGAATTGTGGTTTCCTGGATGCAGAAGAAACATTTAGCCATGAATTGAAGTTTTCTGGATGCAAAAGAAACACTTAGCCATGAATTGCGGTTTCCTGGATGCATAAGAAACATTTAGCCATGAATTGAGGTTTCCTGGATGCCAAAGAAACATTTGGCCATGAATTGGGGGTTTTCTGGAGGGATAAGGAACATTTGGCTGTGAATTAGGGTTTTCTGGATGCAAAAGGAACGTTTAGCCATTAATTGGAGTTTTATAGACGCAGAAGAAACATTTGGCCACAAATTGAGGTATTTCTCTTACTGGATGCAAGAAAAAACATTGGGCTATGAATTGGGGTTTCCTTGATGCAGAAGGAACGTTTAGCTGTGAAAAAATGAATGTTTGGGCCTGAATTGGGGTTTGGTAGATGCAGAAGGAACATTTAACCATGAATTGGGGTTTTCTGAATGCAGAAAGAAACATTTGGCCATTAAGTGGGGTTGGAAAACTCCATTAGTGTCTGTGCAGGACACTAAACGAAAACCTTGCTTTTGTTTTTTTTGGGGGAGGGGGAGGGAAACCTGCTGTGTGAAGTTTGGCTGCCCTAGAGCGAGGAATTGCAAATTAAAGTCAGAATTATTCTCACCGGATATACCCCACTTGGGGTCTGTGCAAGAGACGCCAGCGGTAAGAGGTTTTATCTTTCCATCCTACGTTGCGAGGATCTTTCCACAGAAGCTTGACGTGGCCGGGTGTGTGGCCTGTGTGCCACAAGGCATTGCGTAGATATTCGCCGGGCCCCGTTTCCGATTTTACCGCCTGCCGGGATGAGAAAAACCAACAATATTTGTATTCGAAGCATCAATTTAGCCAAGAGAAAAACAAATTATTTTTCCCCCCATCTTTCCAACTTTTGCAGATTTAGGGTGTGTAAAATTCAATGTGACGGATGACCCTTTTTCATCCTTATGACAATTGCTGCAATGACTCATAGTTATGACGGTCACGTGATTTCCCCTTTTCGACCTTCCAGCAAGCAATGTCAACGGGGAACCCAGATTCACTCAACGACCCTAAGCTACCTTAACAACAGGAGCACAAAGGGCCATAAAATAAGGCACAACTCACCTAACATCTCGCTTAGCAACGGAAATTTTAGATTCGAATACGGTCGTAGGTCGAGGACTACCTGTATTGAGCTGGGCTTTGAATTGGGTCATAAAAGGGTTCTTCCCCCCCCCCCCCGTCATTTAATGAGCCTGTAATCCCTTGCAGGGTGGAGTCAGAGCAACTTAAATGGAGCTAAGTGTTTACTGGCCGGATGCCTTTCCTGTCGCCAATGAGGAGTTTTGTTCAGCAGATAATATTCTCATTGTGCCCAGAAAGAGAAATATCAGCCTCTTCGTAGGATCGAACTCTTGATTGTGAGGCAAGAGCGTCACCTCTAGGCCAACGCACTACTCCATAAAAGGGTTCATATTCATCTTGGCTTGAATTTTGAAGTGATTCAAAATAGTTGCTAATTAGTCGTGCTGAGAATTTGTAAGGAAAAAGAGACCTCATGCAGAGAGATTCTTTCCGGAGCGGGTAAAGCTAGATGACCTTTGGGTTACACACACACACACACATTTTCATGCCAAACTGGGGGATTATCACTCACCTTGAGCTGGAGGCTGGACTCAGCCACAGCCCGGAAGGGCGTGGCCTGCCAGTACGTCTGTTCGGTTTGTTTCCACATGACCACGTAAAAACTGGCGCTGTCTTGGTAGGCGAAGATAAAGCCGGCGTAATCGTCATCGGTCATGGTGTTGACATGGAAAGTGCCTTCAAAATCCACCCCGTTGAATGCCGTGTATCCTGCCCCACAGGAGTAAGGTTAAAAGAGGTCAGGAACCAAAGAGAGGAGCTGGAATCATGATTTAGTTTCGCTTTCGCTTTCTCGATTAACAAGGAATGTATTACAGGCCATCCTCATTGAAGTGACAATTGGGACCAACAATTTTCACTTTTGGTTTCACATTCAGCCGAGGAATTCGCTCTAGGCATTCCTCATTTAGTGACAATTGGGATCCGGGGGTCAGGAGGGAAAGAGAGGAGCTGGAATTGTTATTTACTTTCACTTTCACTTTCCCAATCGGCCAATGAACTCATTACCGGCGGTCCTCCTTTAGTGACAATTGGGACCAGGGGTCAGGAATGAAAGAGAGGAAATAGAATCATTATTTACTTTCAGTTTCACTTTCATTTTCGCACTCAGCAAGAAACGCATTACAGGCGGTCCTCATTTAGCGACAATCGGGACCAGCAATCTGGCCATTATTTGCCCGAATATTTTACTATTCTCTATTCAAACCACAACTGGGTGTAGAATTTTCCTTCTGCTTTATAGTCCTGTGAAGGTCAACCAGTTGCAAAGTTACTCGTTCGGCGTTGTCGTAACTGCAAAAACCACCGCTATTTGTATTGCCGAAGGACATTTTCGGGATCTAGATCCTTCTGATGCAACCCAAAGCAAACAAGCTAACATCAATCTGCTTACCGACAGCCAAGCCGGGATCGCTGTTCATGGTTTGGACAATTTCCATACCCTGAAAATAAAATTCAACGATCAGAGAGAGAGAGAAAAAGAGAGAGGGGGGAAGTGTTTTAATGGATCCTCCACCTCTTTGAACATCTCAGCAATTTCAGAATGGGTTGCCTGATGGATGCTCTTCCATTTTTCTACTCCTTGTACCTGGTTAAGGACCACCCAGTTGGGGTCAATTTGAGCATCTCCCTCAGGGTCCAAGATGACTGTCTGATAGGCCCGGAAGTCAGTCAGCGTCACTTCAGAACTCTCCGGACACACGTCTATCGGATCGGCCACCGTGTCGTTGTCAAAATCCTCCTCGCAGGCGTCTCCCACACCGTTGCCTACGGAGGTCAATAAGCATGTGTGAACTCATTCGCCAAAGGTGTTACTCAGGGTAAACTAAGTTTGCTCTGCACGCAGAAAGAAAAAAATCAGCCCAGTTCTCTCCGAGTTACACGTTTATTTAAATTGGCACACAGGTGGCTCTTCCCATGAAGCTGGAAAGACCTCCGTTTTTAACCACGGTTAGTAGGAAACACAACCGTGTGGATGAAATGTGACGACCCGTCATAAATTGAGGCCTGCTTCTATATATCCATGATGACCCGGGGGCGTGGCACAAAGGCAACGTAGTCAGATAACCAATAAAAGTCCCTTTATTATTGCCAACTTTGCCCCCAATGGCCAGGTTACCTTCTGGCTGGAGAAAAACTCTCCCAGGAACAGCTTTTGACTGCAGAAAATCAAGTCCAAAACATGGTCAACACAAACTGTCCCTGAAAGTCCAAACAAGCCAAACTGCAGAAACGAGTTTGGTAGGGCAGAAGCAAGAATTCCAGGTGTGAAGGCACGGTAATAACTCAACACGGTTGGGAGGACGCCAGGAACACAGATAACCAAAGTCAACACAAGATAAACTCAATGTTTGCTTGCAGCAGTTGCCGCACTCAGCATGTATCTCTTTTAAACTCTCATTCCCAGCTGTGGCTAATGAAGGGAATCAGGGCCCTTTCCTCCCCCGTAAGCCACGCAAACCACGTTGCTCCCTTCTCCGTTCTTTTAGTGGTTGTTCAAAGTTACAACGGAAATTGAAAAAAAGTGACTTGGGACCGTTTTTCACACGACCATTGCAACTTTCCCATGGTCACGGAATCGAAATTCGGAAGCATGACAACTGACTCATATTTATGATGGTCGCAGTGCCCCGGGTTCACATGATCCCCTTTGGCGTCCTTCTGACACACACAGTCAATGGGGAAGCTAGGATTTTCACTTAACAACCGTGTGACCAACTACACCGCGGCAGTGATACACACAGCCACGTTGGCGAGAAAGCTCGTAAAACGGAACGAAACGCGCAGAACAACTGCCCCGCGGAGACCGATTGTGGACGAAAGCCGAGGACTGCCAAAACCATTACAGGACAGGAATCAGCCCAGCATCAGACATACAACCAAGAAGCTCCCTGGGGGAAAAAAAATTAAAATCTCCTTACTTCCCACAGGGATAATTACCGTCGACATCTTTCTGGTTGGGATTAGCGATCAGGCGGCAGTTGTCGGGACCCGGAGGCAGGTAGTCAGGGATCCCATCGTTGTCGTCGTCATTATCACAGTCATCGCCCTGCCCGTCGTTATCTGAATCCAGCTGCGAGCTATTAGGAATTTCCACGCAGTTGTCTTTGGTATCCTGGTGGCCATCGCCGTCTCTGGTGGAGACACGGGGGAAGCGGTAAGAATTAAGCAAGCTTCTTCCCTCCAATGAAAAAACATTGTGCGTGTGTGTTTGTGTGTGCGTGTGTGTGTGTGTAAGAGAAGAAACAGACATCTTGCAATCTCCAGAACTAAAATTATATTTACTTACTAAGCTTCCATCAGCCTCTGCTGACATCGTCAGAGGATTAAGCTACCATTACAAAGATCTATGCCTTTATATATCATTTAGCCCTTGCACGTGTTAATAGGCCGTTCCAGCTGCCTCCCATCTGTAATTAACTGTTGTTTTTGCTTCATGTTGGTCGATGGAGGTTTCTTTCCTCCCTTGTCAGACCCAGCCTGGACTGCTTATCTCTAAGAAGTGATGTTAACCTGCCAGCTATTGCAATTTATTGCTTTGCTCGTGACCTTGCGGTCAGCAATATATATTCGGCACAACTGCGGTTCTACCGGTATACCTAAAATGGCAGTCTTTTTAAGACCTCTGTCATAAGAGCCACCAGTGGCAGCCTGGCGTCCTGCCGAGGTTTGGGACTACAAATCCCATGCTCCTTGACGAAGACTTAAGAGCATTCATCCTCTCTCTCCATTTAACTTTTTCCTCACCAGTTCCTTTCAAATGTTTCCAAGCCACGATGTTTGGCCTTCTATCTTTCTGATAATGTTGCGCTTCCAGTCAAATGCTGGTTTATAGGCCATCAAAACCTTGACACACACACACACACACAAAAATCCCTCAAACCTCGTTTTATTGTAACTTGTCATCTGGACGGGATAGAGCCTGTTCTTAAAACGGGATGTGTATTTTTGTTCAAACATCGGAAGTTGGTTTGTTGTTACCTGTCCTCGTTCGTGTCGCAAGCGTCTCCCACCAGATCACTGTCCACGTCTGTCTGAAAGAGACCGGGATGTCAGGTGAACAAGCATCTAGACCAGGTGTCGGCCATCTGCGGCTCCAGAGCAACATGTGGCTCTTTAAGCTCCCTGTCCCATCACTGGTTGGCCCCACCTCTTGCCCTCCCTTGCCTGGCCTTTCTAGACAGTGTAACATTTGGGAGAGACCAGCTTTTGAGGTTCCCCAGGTTTTACGGAATTACAACACCCTGAATCCCCCAATGCCAAGATAAATATCGGTCTACGTATCTCGTAACTTCCTGGAGGATCAAACCTGAGTTGGATTGCTAAGTTCTGGACAGCTGTCACAAGCGTCTCCGACACCATCTTCATCGCGGTCTGTTTGCAGTGGGTTGGGTACCTTAGGACAATTGTCCAGCCCATTGGGAATCCCTAAAGAGGGAGAACAGGAGTTAGCAAAGCTTCTTCCTCTTCAGTCTCCCCGTCTCCAAGTCTTTTTCGATATATTGTCCTCCTTGCTCATCGCAAACTCTACACATGTACTTCCCTGGCAAGAAAATGTGCAAATCGAAGCACATTGAATTTTCCCGCAAGGAAAGCACATTTTCCAGCACAGTACAGCACCCAGAGTCCGTTGGGTCGGCTGACTGAATCAATCAATCAGCCGACTTTATTTGGGCACACTCCCCTTGACTTACGACCATTCGTTTAGTGTCCAATGTGACAACGGCACACTGAAAAAAGGGACTTTGGAAAAGTACTTGGGGGTTCCTTGGTCCTTGGTGTTTTCCTTGCAGATGTTTCATTAACGAACTAGGTAACATCACCAGTGCTAGTAGGGAGTGGGGTTGGAGGAGGAGGAGGAGGAGGAGGAGGAGGAGGAGGAGGAGGAGGAGGAGGAAGAAGAAAACTGTGTGATCCTTGATGCTCTCTGAGCTTGGTTGTTTCCTTGCAGACATTTCATGACCCAACTAGGTAACATCATCAGTGCTAGAAGAGGGAGGGACTTGCTCTCTCAGCCAAGCTCAGAGAGCACCAAAGACCCTTCAGTTAGAAGATTAAATCCTTGAATGGATCAACCCTTCCTTTGAGCTGCTGGACGTCGACGGTCTTACCATCCCCATCAATGTCGTTGTCACACGCATCCCCTTCCCCGTTTTGGTCGGTGTCCTTTTGATCATTGTTCGGAACGTTGGGACAATTGTCGCAAGCATCTCCAAATGAATCTGGGTCCGAGTTTTGCTGGTCTTTGTTGGGGAGGAGACGACAGTTATCCTGTAGAATAAGACAGGGGCGCGTGTCTCATGGTCTCATTTAATGTCGGCTCTTGTATCCTTGGCAGTTGAAGTCAATAAGTCTTAAAGACGCCAAACTTGGAGGCCTGGCTGGGAAATGCTGGGAGTTGATGCCCACAGGTCTTAAATCCGCCAAGGTGGAGACCCTTAGGATAGACCAAACTCTATTTCTCAGAAGGCAAAGGGGCAATTCTACACCGTGCCTTAAAACTAATCTATGCCCCAAATCTTTGGCCTTATGTGCCAAGAATCAGGGGAGCATGTTGAGGTATTGAGATTTAAGAGCTCACCAGCAGCTGTAAGGCTAATGCAATGTAAGACTGATGCTATGTAAGGCTGATGCAATTGAAGATAAATCAGCATTGGTATTGCCCTTTTAAGACTATGCATGGGTCCACAGAAGCCAATACCACTTTAAGAGGTGTTTTTACATAAAGGCAGCCATTAGAGGACGTGTTTCTCTCTCCTTGTGTCCTGTCTCAATTGTAGAGTTCTCTGTGCAGAGTTAAGAAGTTTGATTACTTGCCAGGTATTTGTCTACCATGTATATTTCTGTAGACGTCTTGTATATAAACCATTGTTAAACATCTAGATCTCTGTCGCTGTCTTTTGCTTCTGGCTTGTCTCACAATAGTAGTCATGCTGCAAACGCTCTGACAGAACCTCTTTCCCAAAAATAACCCCACAAATCTGTAGCTCCCCTCCTCCAACCCATATTATTTTCAATGGGGGGGTCTGAGGAGCCTGAAAACATCCTTAGAAATAGGCAGCTCTCTGTGAATGAGGTAGGGCTGGCTGGGCAACTGTCCCTCCAAGACATGGGGTTGTGATCGGACGTTGAATTTTTGGTGTACCTCCACGTTCTTGATCCCGTCCCCGTCGGCGTCATCGTCACACTGGTCCCCAATGCCGTCATTATCCGCATCTTCCTGTCCTGAGTTAGGGGTCAATCGGCAGTTGTCCTATTAAAAAATGGGACAAAATATTAAACAGTCCTTGAAGTGTTTTATATCTATCTATCTATCTATCTATCTATCTATCTATCTATCTATCTACCAGTCCTTGAAGCCGTATTCTGTTATTGTTTAAAGTAACAGAAGAGTAAAGCGTTGTCCAAGGCGTTGTCCAAGGTGCTGAAAACAATGAATCCGAATAGAGCTGGAAGGGACCTTAGAGATCCTCTAGTCTACCCCGCCGCTCAAGCAGGAAACTCAAGATCATTTCAGACAAAATAGCTGTCCTTAAAAGCCTCCAGTGATGGAGCACCCACAACTTCCGGTTAAATTGTTCTAATTGTCAGGAAAGGCCTTCTTAGTTCGAGGTTGCTTCCCTCTTAGATTAGTCTCTATCCGTTGCCTTCTTGTCTTGCCTTCTGGAGTGAGAATCCCAGAAGAACAGAGTCGGAAGGGACCTTGGAGGTCTTCTAGTCTAGCCCCCTGCTCAGGAGGTCTAACCCCCCAAGCAGGAGACCTTGGCCTATAACAGTGGTGGCTAACCTTTTTGGGGCTTCTGTGCCAAAAAAATGTGCGTGCGCTTGCATGGTCATGCTCGCGTGCCAGCACCCAGAAGGCAATGCGCCCCCCCACCCCTTACTCATGCAAGCACAATCCCTACCCACCTCCAGCCACCCGCTTACCTGAGCTGCATCTCACAGCTGATTTTTGGCCAGTTTGAGGCCTTTTTCGGTCTTCCAGAGGCTTAAGGAAGGCTTCCGCAGGCCAAAAACTAGGCCCGTTTCGTCACTTCCGTTATTTTCGGAAAAACAGACACCCCCTATTCCTGCAACCCTTTTCCCTATGTTTGAGCCTTCAGTCCCTTAGTTGCTCTTCTCTGCACTTTCCCCGTTTTACCTGCGCACAATGCTTGTTGTTGTCAATGCAGGGCAAAGGCTCGTCCGGATAGCCGTCAATATCGGTGTCCCGGCCACACACATTTCCGTTGCCGGCCCAACCTACGTTGCACTAGATAGGTGAAGGGGAAGAAACCAACAATTTTATTAAGGAGGCCGATGGAAATCGCTGTCAGCGTTCCAGCAAACCTCCATCCCAATCAGTAACTCCGAGACAGGCATAATCTCAAAAGTACCTTTATTAGAATAGCACCTGGCACATCTGTGGAATCTCAAAACTAAAAGTTTACCGGACTTCCCATAATGTCCCAAACTACAATCCGCCCCCTTTTCTCCCATCATCACATCAAATGGGCCAATCACGATCCAACCCAGTGTAAGATCCTTTTTCTCTGCTGTGCTACCCTTAATAACCTTGAACTAAGAAAAGAATTTTATTTTGTCTACTTAGAACTACTCAATTGACATCACCCCTCTCCCAACTTCACGTAGTATATGCCTTGCAAAGCTGACAATTGCAACAAGATTTAATTAAGGAGGCCGATGGAAATCCCAGAATGTTTTTATTTATTTATTTATTAAGGATGAAGGTTGGAACCACAAAATGATTTTTAAAAATTAAGGATGATGATTGAAATCACAAAAATGGTTTTTATTAAGGGCGCTGTTTGAAATCATAATTTTATTAAGGGTGCCAACTGAAATTAAAAATTATTTTTATTAAGGGTGCAGACCGGAATCATAAAGTGATTTTATTAAGGGCGCAAAATGAAATCACAAAATCATTTTGATTAAGGAGGCCGACTGAAATCACAAAATGATTTTTATTGAGGGTGCCGACTGAAATCAGAATACGATTTTATTAAGGGCGCCGATTGAAATTAAAAATTATTTTTATTAAGGGTGCAGGCTGAAATCACAAAATGATTTTTTTTATGAAGGGTGCCAAATGAAATCACAAAATCATTTTTGTTAAGGAGGCCGACTGAAATCACAAAATGGTTTTCCTTAAAGAGTGCGGACCGAAATCCCACAAGGGTTTTCCCGGGAAACACCCGAAGAAGGACGCATCAGCTCCTCCTACCCTCCAAATGGCTCGAACGGCTCAATGGAGCCTCCATCGTTAAGAGCAGTCTACCTTCCCCTCCCACCTAGCCAGTGGTGGGGATTGAAATCATCTAGCCACCGGTTCTCTGCCCTCGTGATTTCTTCCAACAACCAGTTCACCAAACTGCTCGGAAAGTTAACAACCGGTTCGAGTGAACCGGTGTGAACCGGCTGAATCCCACCGCTGCACCTAGCCACTGGCCTTCCACCCAAACCTAGGAAAGAACACGAGGATTTTTACCGAACAGGAAACATCTCCATTGCGTTCAAAGAGGCAATATCCGTTGACGTCACAAGGATTGTGGCTCGGACTTTCGCACGCTTTCTGGGGGGTACAGCTGCCCGGCTCCTTCTCCACGAAACCGGATTTACACGGCCCACATTTGAAAGACCCCTAAAAAAAAGTGTGTGTGTGGGGGGGGGAATGCCAGTGAAATGAAGGAGGCCCAAACCTGCCCAGCATTATGGGTTTCATGAAACAGCCCTCCACTCTCTCACACACTGACAGGACGCTAGCCAGGTGAATACCGATGGATGCTGGTAGGCAGAATTTTTTCCCCTTATTTTCCTCTCAAAAAACTAAGCCCAATCACATAGTTTTGTAGCAAAGCATGGGTATTGAGCTAGTATTTAAAATTACATGTTTCGACAGCAGCGAGAATTGTATTTGCATAATTTTGGAAACATGAGGGAACCTACCACCCCAGATGAAAATATAATTTAAAAAAATTACTAGAGTGTGCCGAAATGGATAGGTTAACCTTAAAGATAAAGGATAAAGAAGATACAGAATATTTTTAACGCGGGATTCGTTTTACCAATGGTTAGATAATAAAAGTAGAAATTGAAAGTGGGAGGAATATTACTATAAATAAATAAAAGTTGTTATTATTCATTAAACATGAAACTCAGTCAACTACATATTTAAAAATGTATCACAATTATTATATTATTACTATTTTAAAAGGCCCAGACAATACACTGTTTATTTAATACAGTACTTATGTACATTTAAAAAAAGTATAAATATAAATATTTTTTAAAAAAGAAAAACACAAGGGACCTGCGTTTAAATCTAGCCGATTACAATGTTTACACAGTCTTCAATTCTCATTTTAGATTTTGTACAAGCTGTTTGAAATGGAATTTTTCCAAAAAAATTTCCTGTATGGAATTGAATATTATCAGACTGGGGTCAGATTGGAATTGGGTGAATTTCCTCCTTCCTGGACTCACACTTATGGTTAGTCCCCTCCCTGTTTTTCCTGGACGGAGCTACTCACCACTGTGTTGGTGCAAATTGCGTTGGGGTCACAACCTCCGTTGTTCCCATCGTTGCACTCATCAACGTCCGTGCAAATCTGGGGAAAACAGAGATCAGTTAGCCAGGTAGCCTTGGAGCGGATAACGGAGGCAATCCTCATGTTACGACGGTGCCGTGATCCGACAAGCAAAGTTACAACAGCACTGGAAGAAGTGACTTACAACCGTTTTTCACACTTACGACCATTGCAACATCCCTGTGGTCAGGTGATGAAAATTTAGATGCTTGGACTTATGACTCGTACTTATGACGGTTGCAGCGTCCCGAGGTTTTTTGCGACCGTCCGGCCAGCGAAACCAGTGAGGGGAAATGACAATGGCAGGAATTTGCTTAACAACGATGGCAAGGAAAGTCATAAAATGAGGAGCAAAGCGGCGTTAAGCACTCAGCCACAAAACGTTGGCCTCCATTGTGGTCGTTAAGGCGAGGATTGATTTACCCGCATAAGGAAGAGCACAAAATAAATTGGAATAGAAAACCAGGAAATATTGCAAGCTTCTGTTATTCTACCTTACCAAAAAAAAAAAAAAAAACATTCTGGAATCTCCACGGCTTCTCTTTCTTGACCCGTCCTACCTCAAAGGGTTGTGGTTTGAGTTGGAAGAGAGAGAGAGAGAGAAAACCAACCAAGCCTTCGTTAAATTTCAACGGGGATTTAAGTTACTCGCCTGTTTGCTGGCTTTGGCGTAATCGGCCCCAACTCCGGTGACAAGGTTCCCCTTGTAGCCAAGTGGACACGGCTCACAACGAAACCCGGGCGCGATGTTGAGGCACTTGGAGCCGGCAAAACACGGGTTCGCAAACAAACACTGCAGTCAGGCCGAAAACATGAAAAGAACAAGGTGTGTTTCCCATCTATATTTAACAAAAATACTAAACTGCATTAAAAAAAACATCACCTCTATGGAAATAAATAAATAAATAAATAAATAAATAAATAAATAAATAAATAAATAATCTATCTATCTATCTATCTATCTATCTATCTATCTATCTATCTATC